CATCCTCACCAACACACAATATCAGCAGCCTTTATAATTTTGGCCATTCTAATAGTTTACATTTCCCACTGAGCACTTTTTCATGGGCTATTTGCCATTCATCTGCATTCCTTAGTGAAGTATATACTCTGATCTCCTTCCTATTTTTACATTGCATTCATATATTTTCAGAGTTCCTTTTATATTCAGCATTTAGATCCTTTACCAAACACATCATATACAAAATTGTTCTAGTCCAGTGATGGCGAACCTTTTAGAGCTCTCAACAATAACAGACAGCCCACTGCAGCACACGTGCCACAGGTGTGCCATCAATATTCTAGTCTATAACTTGTTTTTCAGTCAGCATTGTCTTTTGATAATAAGAACTTCTTATTTTGATGAAGTCCATTTTATTTAAATGTTCAAGGGGCCGGGTATTTAGCTCAGTGGTTCCAGCGCTTGCCTCAAAAACACAAGGAACCCAGTTCGATCCCTGGTATCAAAAAATAATACTAATAAAAAAAATAAAGATTGTGCTTTTGGTGTTATTTCTAAGAAATCTTTATCTAAACCAAGTTCACAAAGATTGCTCATATTTCAAAAAAATTGTGTAACTTTGAGGAGATTAAAATTATGAACTAGAGATTGACAGCAAAATACAGCGCCTTGGGGACCTGGAATTAAGACCCCTGGAAAACAACAACTTGGTGAAGACAAATAAAGTAGATCTCTGGGAATCAGGACAGAGCTAACAGGAAAACTAGGGACTACAGAAAAGCTGGGGAAATGGAGCACAACACAGAGAAAAGAATGCGGCAGCCTGAAGAGCTGACCCTGGCTCCGGAGGAGGAGGACCTGCCTCTGCTGACACACAAGGTAAGCTCAGGAGGCTCAGCAGCCCCAGGGAGAAATGACACACTTGCCTGGCAGTGCTGGCTTCTGCCCCACAAAAAAGCCATGGCTATTGTAAACTTCACAGTGTGGAGTGTTATTCTGAAAGTGATTCCTATATGGCAGGCTAGAGTTGCGGGAAAAAAATGTAGTGTAGTATCCACCATATTGGAGAGGGTTTAACCAGGAGCCATTTGGGGAAGGGGTTAATTGTGTAAGACTGAATAACTGAACAGCTATGTAGCCCTATACCACAGTGACTGGATAGGAGACAGCCACAAGAAGAGACAGTCATAGGGACGGTGATGAGCAGGGGTAGACCCATCCTGAGAAGCTTTAGCTCAGGCTGGGAAGGTCATTGGGATTCTGCCCTCTAAATTGAGAAGCCAGACCAGTCATATGCAGCTTTCAGAGTGGGCATGGTCTAGCAGTGCTGGCATTAAATTTAGTGGACTGCTTGGACCCTCAAACCTGGCTCCCCATGTGTAGCACAGAACCCAGGGTCTCTGTTTTTACCATCTGCCAACATGATCAGGGATATTCTGTGGCTTGGATGGTTGCCACAGCCTGGAGTGTATGGACAGAGTGGTCTGTGGAACTGGGCGAATACCTCACAGACCCACAAGCCACAAAGTTAGTTGAAGAAAGCCATGATTTAGGTTGCACACAGAGACACAGAAACCAGGAGCCAGCAGGCTGACTACAGTCTTAGGGAAGACACCATTGACTGACAACACCCAGCAGAAAAGGTGGGACAGGATTCAGCATTCACACCAAAAACAGGAGTGTGGAAACAAAATTTATAAATTTATAAATAATTGCACTTATAAATTCAATTAATTTGTGAGGGCTGGTTATAACTCAAATTGGTTGTAAGTCAAGACTATTTTCCCATAAGAAATAATGGCAATTAACATAGGTGATCAGATCTTGGGACAGAGGCAAAGGCTTGTAGTTAGCCATCCCTAGAGTACACCACCCAAAAGCAGACACTAACAGAAGAGTTCTCCACACAAGCGACATAATTTTTCCATTATAATCAACCCTCAAACCTTAGTACATGCATGCACAGACACACACACGCATACACACGCACATAGAAATATGAGAAGATAAGGCAACAAAATGCCTCCAAAAATCCCCAAATTCCCCAAAGCTCATCCATGGGACATCAGTGGGGAGGAAATCAAAAGGCAAACAGCCTAATCATACAAAATGACAAAAGATAAGACCAAAACACAGCAAATCAATAGATGCTTGGAGAGCTCAAAGATGACATAACTTATCCAATAATTTAAGAAAGAAAATGATCAGTGACCTCACAGAAAGCACTAATAAAAAGCTAGCTGGGCTAAACAAAATGATACAAATCATGAATGACCAATACAGCAAAGAATTTAGAGTCCATGAAAAGGTACCAAGTAGAAATCCAAGAGATAAAAACAGAAATCCAAGAGATTATAGAAAGTATGGGCAGCAGAAGTGGCCAATATGAGAACAGTGTCAGAACTAGAAGACACGGCTGATACAGGTGACCATATACTTACTCAGAGATACTTTAACAACAAGAGAACAGGGCTGGGGGTTTAGCTCAGTGGTTCCACTGTCTGCCTTGCAAGCACAAGGACCCGAGTTCAATCCCCAGTACCATAAAATAAATAAATAAATATAAAAAAGAAAAACAAGAGAACATGAAAAATGGATCCAACAGCTGCTAGATGACACAAAGAAGACTAGGATTAATTAGAATTAGTTAAAAATCAGAAGATGGCACAAATGGCATTAAAAAAACTCTATAGAATCACAGAAAACTTTCCAAATATGAGGAAAGAATTTAATATACTGAGAGACAAGCCACACTGAACTCCAAGAAGCCACAATCAGAAAAGAACTTTTCCATGACATGTCATAGTCAAAATCCCAAAAGACCAACACAAGAACATAATTCTAAAAGCGGTCAGAGAAAGTTGCTTATAAATGTAAACCCATTAGAATTACAGCAGACTTCGTAATACAAAACTTAAAGGCCAAGAACCCATTAGAATTACAGCAGACTTCGTAATACAAAACTTAAAGGCCAAGAGAACCTGAAATGTTTTAAGCCATAAAAGAAAACCACTTCCAATCCAGACTGATACATTCTGTAAAGCTAATTTGTAAAACTGATGGAGAAATAAGGTCTTTCCACGACAAAGAACACCTTAAGAAATTCATGCCCATCAAACCAGCACTCCAAAAAATTCTCAAGAATATCCTCAAAAGAAACAATAGTGCCAACAATGCCAAAAGGTCTAATGAAAAAAATATACCAGGCAGAGTGGGCAGTTAAGCAGAAAGGAAAAAGAAGAAAAAAGAAAAACGGGTATTGGTAACAGGAAAATAATACAATGACAGGAATAAGTTGATACCTTTCAGTAGTAACTCTTAATGAGAAAGATACAAATTTGCAGATTGGATTTAAAAAAAAAAAACAACTCAGTGGTATGCTGTATACAAGAAATACATTTAATTAAAAAAAAAATCACAGGGGCCCAGGGATTTAGCTCAGTGGTTCCACCACCTGCCTCACAAGTGCATGAACCTGAGTTTGATCCCTGGTACCAAAAAAAGAGACTAAAAATCAAAGGCTGGAAAACAATTTTCCATGCAATGGGAGCCTGAGAACAAGCAGGTGTAGCTATCCTATTCTTAGACAAAGTAGACTTCAAGCCAAAACTGATCAGAAGAGGCCAAAAAAAAGTCACTATATAATTCAATGGGAAGAGATAACAATTACAAATACATATGCAGCAAACACCAGTGCACCCCATGTCATTAAATACTACTGGATATAAAAGCTCAGATAAACATTAACACAACTATAGTGAGGGACATCTGTGCCCCGTTATCACAGATCAATTAGATAAAAAAAATCAACAAAGAAATAAAATTCGTTATTTTCATATGACACTTACACAAGTCTAATCCCAATCTGTCTTCTGTCTACTAGTGCTGTATAGTTTGCAACATGTGTTATAGTTTTGGCCTATGAATTCATCTTCTGTGGTCACAATTTATGGGAATCTGTGAGGCCCAGGTTTAACGAATTTACCTCCAGATCAGTTTTATATTTGCCTCTCTGAGTTTCCGCCCTTTCTGTGTTATTTCTTAGTTTTGGAACCCTGGGTTATAGAAGTAGCATGTGTTCAAACATCAGCGCCACTTGAGAACAGGCCTTGGCTGTCATCATGGGAGGTCTTTTCTTGAACCGGACATCAGGTCAACCACACATGCTTCCAAGTTTCTCTGGGCTTGAAAGTTGACATTTTTCTGTTTCACTGCATATTATCAGGGTTCTCTAGAGAGACAGAATCAGTAGGAAAGACAGATGGATGAAGAGACAGATAGAGATTTATTATGAGGATTTGGTTCATGCAATTATAGAGGTGGGAAAACTGTATACTCGAGACCCAGGTAAGCCAGTCGTGTAATTCAGTCTGAGCCTGAAGGCCTGAGAACCAGAGAACCAGTGGTATAAATCCCATTCTGATGGGGAAAAAGAGGAGAGTCCTAGTTTAAGCAAACAGGAAGCAAAAGGGCAAATTCCTTCTTTCACTGCCTTTTGTCTTATGAAGACTCTCAAAGGATTAGAAGAAGACCACAAACACTGGGGAAGGTGAGGTATTTTACTTAGTCCACCAATTAAAATATTAACCTCACCTAGAAACAACCTTACAAACACACCCTGAGATAACATTTAATCTGGGCACCCCATGGCAAGTGAGTTAACTTGATACATAAAATTAATAACTGGGCCGGAGATTTAGCTCAGTGGTGCCACCACCTGCCTGACAAGCACAAGGTCCTGAGTTCAATCACTAGTACACACGCGCGCGCGCGCGCACACACACACACACACACACACACACACACACTCCACCCAAGCAACTACCACATAACTTTAAACTGAGGATACAGAACTTTCAGAGTTTTACATTGATGTAGAACTTGCACTTCCCCGAGACCACAGCAAATCAGCCATCTCCAAAGGAGAGGGATCCACGTGATTTGCCTATGGTATTTAGGTGAAGGGTGACAAGAGAAAAATCTCTTTTGATTCATTGTAAATCTGAAGCAGAGAAAACCACCCAAGCAACTGAGTTTCTTTGGAGATGATCGGAGTAAGTTTCCTGTATTGGTCAGGATGGGGTAGCGGGTGGGAGTAGAAGTGAAGCTCAGGAGTTGACAAGTACAGTATTTTGAATTTTTGCATATGGGAGTCTGTGAGACTCTGAAATTTGCATCTCTAACAGACGAGCTGCACCTCAGAGACAAATTATGTCGCTTTATACTTTTCTGTACCATCTCCTGCCTCCTTGTCACCTTATCCAGGGTCGGCACGACCTCCAGTCGTAAGAGGTGCTCTACAAACATGTTTGTTCACTAGAAGAGAGTGCATGAATAAATGGGCAAAGGTAGTTACTACAATGGGCGGAAACAAGTCTAGCAGATTTTTTAACCAAATATAATTGTATCCTAATTAAGGGGGGAAACAGAAGTGGGGGGGGTGACACCTCTGCAAACCGCTAGGTCTGCGACCAGATGGCCCACCTGCCCAGATCGCAGCTGAGGAGCGGCTGCAGCCGGCTCCCTCCGTCTTCAGCCCCACAGCCTCCCCACACCCACTGCCCCGGGAGGCGGCTGGAGCCGCGGGCGCAGAGGCCACCGAGCTGGGCTTCCAGAACTAGGCAGGATGGCTCCGCAGTCGCTGGGGCAGCGATGGCGACGCCTGAGCTATTCATAAAGGCTGGGGTGCACACGAGACTGGCGCTGCTCCGAGGCCGGTGCCCGGGAGCAAGAGAAGGCGCGCTCG